CACCTGCATCAAGTCTCCTAGCAGGTTAGCGCAGATTTCTAAGTCTGTCACTGCATGAAAGGGAGGGAATCTGAAGTGGAGAGTTCCCTGATGTCACGAGAAGATGGCGTGAGATGGAGTAATCAGACTGCCCACTGGAATTCTGCTGTAAGCAAGTCATCACTCCCATCTCTTTGCCCTGAGACCCAGTTGAAAGAAACGCTTCACAGTGTACAGAGCCTCAACTCTATTGGGACAAGAGTATGCACATTGAGGGTACTGAGTTTTCCTCATTCATTCATGCATTCAGCAAGTAGTTGTTTTCAGAATACCCCTCCCGATGGGAAGTCTTATTACCAGTGCCACCTAGCTACTACCTGAGAAGAGAGCGGGCAGGGCGATCATTTGACCTTGGTATTGACCGCAAGCTCTTTTTCCTACAACCTGCTCAGCCCCCCGCAGAAAGCGTTCAAGAAGCACTGAGCAAATTGGGGTAATGAAAGCAAGAAGGCCGGTTTTGTTTGATTGTTCTGTTGTTGCTGCCTTTGTTTTTTCCCGGCCCACACATTTCGTATTCCATTCCTCACCCTGCTTTCTTCAGCGCTGGGGGCACGGGAGTAGAGAGGGAGAGAGAATTCCCTAGATGAAGACTGGCAGACACTGCTGAAAGGCCCCTGGGATGCTCGTAGCAAGGGAAACTGCATAGCAGAGTGCAGGGATGTTATTCAAAAAAAAGGGACTCTCAGTAGCTTTGTCAGCAGAATCTTGTGGGGGAAACAGGTCCCTTTCTCTCTCCCCTCCTCCGTCCTGCCTCCCCTTCCATCCCTCCCTCCCCCATCTCTCCCTCTCATTCCCTCTCTCTCTTCCTCCCCCTTTTAGCCTCATTTCCTCTCTCTCTTTTAACCCTCCCTCTGCCTAACTATCTATACATCTACTATCCTCCTGCTACGTAGCACTCCCTGTCTAAGTGCATATTGCCTGACCTGTGTCTACCTCGCCTCTCCTCCAGAATCTGCAGGATGCACTAGCTCTAAGCAGACAGACAGATTGAGGTCTTCCACATAATCAGGAAGGAACCAGCCTTCACAAGAACTTGACTCTAGCTCTAATTCCTGCCACTCTGCAGTCTCTTTGAGGAAATAAATCAATGTACCCTAGAAAGCAGATCATATGCAATCTTACCATCATCATCTCACCCTATTTGTCTTCATATTAGAGGAGAAGGGAGGTGATACCAAGAGTCAGACAACCTCATGACCTTATCCTCAAGGGGATGTGCCTTCATGATCCTGTAATTAAGATGTGTAGGGGAAGATCTCTCTGCTTGTTATAGAAAGTCCAGGCTCCTGCTGCTAGTCCTCCACCAACTGGCTCTGTTGTCTGGAGGCAAATGCCTTACCTCTTTCCTCCTATGGTTTTTAGTTTTCTATTCAATAAAATGGGTGAAGGGACTGGGGTGGTACACCTCATCACATGAAACCATTGTGACAACACTGGATAGATATTATTATCCATTCGTTTTGAATGATGGAAATGAAGTTCAGAGAAGTTAGATTATTTAAGCCCTGTGGCACTTGTGTATGGCAGAGGTAGCACTTGAACCTAGCTTTGTTGTTATTTATTCGCAAAGTCACGTCTGACTCTTTGTGACCCCATGGACTGCAGCACGCCAGGTTTCCCTGTCCTTCACCATCTCCAAGAGATTCCTCAAACTCATGTCTATTGAGTTGATGATGCCATCCAACTGTCTCATCCTCTGTCACCCACTTCTGCTCTTGCCTTCAATCTTTTCCAGCATCAGAGTCTTTTCAAGTGAGTAGGCTCTTCGCATCAGGTGGCCAAAGTATTGGGGCTTCAGTATCAATTCTTCCAATGAATATTCAGAGTTGATTTCCTTCAGGATTGACTAGTTTGATGCCCTTGCTGTCAAGGGACTCTCAAGAGTCTTGAACCTAACTTTGCCTGATGCCCAAAACCTATGCCCTATGCAGTTCCCTTTATTGGGTTTCTAAAGAGTAAAGTCTGAATGGATAACTTGCTTTCAGATCAGGGTGAGTTTTGTTATATGTGAGTTGGCCACATTCACCAAGAGGTTGTTTGGAGCTACTGAGAAGTGCTGAGCCTGTATTCCTTCTGTATTTGAACTGCCAGGCATGCTACTGGTCACTGGAGTCCTCAGCTGGCTCAAACTCATCCTTAAATAATTGAATTATAATGGATTGATTTATTCTGGCTCTTTTGATAGTATTTCACTATGTAAACTGTTTGCAGAAACAAACAAGGGATTTTGGAGCTTGGAAGGGGCTCAAAATTCTGCTGCCCCTGAATTCAATGATTCCTTTTTTCAGATAGTCAGCATCACAGAAATTCAAGTCTTATTTCTACTTGACCCAGGCTCTTTCCATTTGGGGGAGTGCCGCTTGAAAGTGTTTCAAGTGAGTACTGATTTTACGAGCTGATTCAATTCAGCCACTTAGGAATAAATTAAACCCTTAATGAGAAGAGTATTTTTTTTTCTTGACCATTATTTTAAGATATACACTGTGTGTTTATGTCCATTTCTTATGAAAGTTGTATGGCTATCTTGAGAGGTTGTCCTTGCTGGTTTCTGTACTATGGATGGGAAACCAGAGGGTGAGAAGTAAAGTTGATCGTGCAGAGTTACACACCTAATAGGAGCTTCCTTGGTGGCCCAGACAGTAAAGAATCTGCTTGCAGTGCGGGAGACCCGCGTTCGATCCCTGGGTTGGGAAGATCCCCTGGGGAAGGGAAAGGCTACCCATCCAGTATTCTTGCCTGAGAAATCCCGTGGACAGAGGAAACTGGCAGGCCACACAGTCCATGGAGTGGTGAAGAGTCAGACACGACTGAGAAATGAGCGCGCGCACACCCCTCCCTAATACGAGGGGCAGAAACCAAACCCTGGTCTTCAATGAGGCTTCTCTCTCTCTTCTTTCAGAGTGAATCAGGCAAGAATGTCCTAGATCAAGCAGCATTCTCAGGGTGACCATACGTTCTGCGATGTTTAGATTTTCTCAGGATAGGTGCTTCTTGCCTGGGCAGAATTTTTACTAGCATTCTCTCTCACTCCCCAAGTGTACTGTTTGAAGGAGCTGCTGCATGTAAATGTGATGGCAATACAGGGGGATGACTATTAAGACGGTGAAGTGAAGTGAAAGTCGCTCAGTCGTGTCCAACTCTTTGCGACCCCATGGACTATATAGTCCATGGAATTCTCCAGGCCAGAATACTGGAGTAGGTAGCCTTTCCCTTCTCCAGGGGATCTTCCCAGCCTAGGGATCGAACCGGGGTGTCCCGTGTTGCAGACGGATTCAGACGAATTGCAGGCAGATTATGATAGGGATCTTTGTAAAATAGGAACCCACACAGGAGGGAGTACTTAGCTTTCATAGAGGAATTGGGAAAGTGTACCTGGCCTTCATCTTGCCCAAAAGATGGGCCAGATGATCGCTTTTGGACAGCTACCTCCAGATTTCTCCTTGTATTATTCTATTGTGAAACACCACGAAGCATGTACTGTGTAGGTCCTACCTGCTTAGAAGGCCTCCAGCTATCCATATAAATGTATGACTGAGTCCCCTCACTGTTCACCTGAGATTCTCACAACATTGTTAATCGACTATGTTAGTTGCTCAGTCGTTAGGTCGTGTCTGCCTCTGTGATCCTATGGACTGCAGCACGCCAGGCTTCCCTGTCCTTCACTACCTCCCAGAGTTTGCTCAAACTCATGTCCATTGAGTCGGTGATGTCATCCAACCATCTCATCGTCTGTCTCCCCTTTCTCCTCCTGCCCTCAATCTTTCCCAGCATCGGGGTCTTTTCCACTGGATTGACTATAGCCCAGTACAAAATTAAAAGTTAAAAAAATAAAAAAAAGAAAGCATCCAGCTAACTCTGCTTCTCTTGAGTTTTGTTCTTACAGCTCAGGGAGAATCACTGCAGCCAGCTGCAGCTTTAAACTGTCCCAGGCAGAACTCCTGGCTATGATTCGAGTTACACAGGAGCTTGAGAACTCACTTGGCCTTTAACTGAAATACCTAAGATATCCAGCAAGTATCTAGAAGATAGCACCTTAGACAGGAAGGGCTCCTGGAGTTTTAGCAGTTTCTCCCCCTTCAATGATGACTGAGCCCAGAAGAGGGAAAGAGGTTTGTCTGAAGGAACAGAACAATTTCGTTACAGACTCGGGACTGAAGCCAGAGGCTCTCATATAACAGTTCACTCTATGTCAGACTGTAATCCTATTTACAGTTAATTAGTCAAAATTGTCAGTTTAAGACTATGAAGTGCTGCGGTGGCAGATAATGTACCTAGAACTTGGACAGTGAAAGCCTGAGTATAAAATCAGGATCCGGCATGAACACTTTTCATGACCTTGGGAAAGTTATTTAAGACATGCAGGATTTCAGTTTGCTAATTGAGAAGACTAAAATCATAATTTAAATAATATCTTTCTCACAAGGTTACTGTGGGGCTCACAAGGCGTATGAAGGTGGAAGTGTTTGTTAATGTGTGTGTATGTTATGTAGTAAAAATCACATAATACAAGATCTACCCTCTTAAATTTTTAAGTGTACATACAGTTTGTTTTTTTTTAATCTATAGTCACAATGTTGTACGTCAGATTGCTAGAACTTATTCATCCTGTGTAACAAAGCTTTATACCGCTTGAATAGTGGATTTGAAATCCCAACCCCCCTCCTTCCAGCCCCTGGCGGTCACCATTCTACTCCCTCCTTCTATGAGTTTGTTTTATATGCATCATATAAGTGGAATCATACAGTGTTTGTCCTGCGTGTAATGTCCTCCAGGTTCACTAGTGTTGCCTCATATGGCAAGATCTCCATTGTAAAGCCTGAATAACAGTCAGTGGTGACCATCAGCGGTGGGCTTGACTGTGCCAATGATTCTGTGTGTCTGATTCCGTAACTGCTGGTGGCAGCCAGGGTCAAAGAACAAACACTGATCTGTTCTCTCCCTTCGATGTCTGTCTCCCGCAGATGAACCCAGCCGGTGCTATTTCCATGATGGCGACGNCAAACCTTGACGGCGTACGATAATCTCTCGGTCCATCCATGTTGCTGCCAATAGACAAATGTAATTCTGAGGTCTTATCAGACTTGTTGGTCAGCAGTTGGATTTGGAGTGTTTAAGGGCAAGAAGCATTAGCGCCGTAGGGGTAATGACTCTCCTGTGTCTCCTGCTAGAAGTCATATTTGGGGAAAGCACTCCATTTGGGATATACCACTGGCATTCAATGGTATGAGAACAGATTCTCTGGGCGAGTCTCAGTTTTGACAGGGGAGGGCGTCTCGTCACGTACTGCTCTAGCATGCTCTCGTGAATATGGTATCTCCATCGTGGATGCGCCGTGCGGCTTTGGGCTAGTCTTCCCATTTCTCCGGGCCCCATTTTCCCCATCTTTAAATTAGACAGTAGTTGAGCTGGATGCTCTCCAAGGACCTTCCCAACACTCAAAAGCTGCGACTCATTCCTCATTCTCGAATGCACTATTTATGTCCCAGGTTCTTCCCCAGGGGACTATCAGCTTAGTCGAGGGAGTGAGAGCACTGGGGCCGGCAGCGCTTGTGTGATTCTAGGGATGGCCCTGCTGTCCCCAGAGTCCCCTCTCCAATTATCCTACCCAGTGACCACCTGCCTTCTTCCGAGACTCTCGTTTCCCAGAGACACACCAGCGCTTCCTCCCACCCCGCCCCACGGCCGTTTCAGAGGCCGGCCTCCCACCTGGCCTTGCAGGAGAGTTCTGTCTCCCCATTCCTCTCTAACATTGCTAGCCTGACTCGTGGTCGGTGGAGGGGTGAGGCGAGGGCGGAGGGGCCTGGTTTCTAGATGAAAGAGACATGGGACCTCCTCCTGGGGCCCGGGGAACATCACTGGAAGAGGTACAAAGGAATCTAACCTCACTTATAGTGTTTATTTGATCATTTGTTCTTTTATCTGATTGCGTTTACCTGCATCAGATTATGTATTCGTTTGTTTTGGACTGTTCCTGAGGAGGATGGAAAGAAATGTAAGCAAGGTATTCCCGAATGTTTGTCGTGTGTAGTGCCAGCTGGGTGCATGAATGACCGAATGAATGAATGAATGAATGCTTGCCTACGCTCATTCTGCCCCATGCCACCTCTGTACCTGCTGAGATCATTTTGGGTGAAACCCATGCTCTGAACTCTAATTACCCGTTTCCATATCGGCTTCCCCCTCAGGCTGCTAGTTTTGTGAAAAGAGTTTTAAGGTTTTATTTACTGTGTTCCCCATCTTCAAGCACAGGTTTTAGGTAAGACCAGGAGTTCAAGCGATATGTGTTTAATTAATTGTAGATAAACACACACGTTGCTACCTTTCTCATAAGGAGTGTCCTGCTTTAGGCACAACAGGGCTGGCCAGTGATAGAGCCAGGCATTCCAGATTCAACCCTGCCATCCAGTTTCTAGAAATGTTTTAAAAACATCATTCAAACAAGGGTATTATTAACACACTCAGAATCTCACATGACCACATGTTGAGGTAACAGCTGTGCTTATAAACCACCAAAGGTTATTGCTACTAATGTGAGAAAAGGAGAGAAAGAATTTTCCAGTCTTAGCATTTGAAAAGAGACTTCGCCTGGGCAATTATTCCAGTCTGGGAAGGAGGGGGCTGTCAGGAATCATGGGTGATTATCTCTTCCTAAACAACAATCCAATTTAAAAAAAATCATTATAAATACTCGCTCTTCGATCTACAAAGAGGGGCTGAGAAAACAAAATCATCCTATTGAATTATTCATTGTAACCAATTTTATTTTAATGAAATCGACTAGGTTCCATTACTCTGGGCTTGGACATAATCTTTGTTACAGGGAGACTTCAGCTGTAACTAAATTTGCCATAATGAGATCAGCTCACTGGAGAATACAGGGTCAGGGGTGGGGAGGTGTGTGCCGCCTGGGTGCAGGGCCGGACGGGGGGTCTGGGGGCTGGCAGAACAAAAGTCCCCCCAATTCCCTGTCTCAAAGCGAGTGCCTGGAAGCCATTCCCACACCAGCCCCATCGTGCACAGGCCAACATGTGTACACACACAGACAGCACACGCACAGCCTGCACGACTGAGTCAAGCCTCTTCTTGGAGGGTAGACACAGCTCCCTTCTGACAGCAGAAAAGAGGAGGAAGTGTGACCGTGGCCTTCATCACCCTGCGTGGTGACTAGAGGAGGCTGGTGGTTAATTTTCACCCTGTCAGGGCCTCCGGGGAAGAGGTTGATGGCCTGAGAGAGGGAGCTGTGGGCTTCTTAGATGCCCTGTGAGCACCTTCCCTTCCCTTAACCCAATTATACATTCCTCCTCCTCTTTCCTCCTCCTCTCTCTCTGTCTCCTTTATACACACACAGAGACAGGCACACACACGCGAGCATCCTCTAGGAACAGGCCTTGCAGATGCAAGAGCCCAGGTCCATGCAGCGATCCCGAAGCGCAGGGGAGAGAGTGGGGAGGGGACAGCGGTTGTCGAGGTCCCCCAGCCATGGAGTTAGGCCCTCATACGTGCTTCCTAACCAACCCCCTCGCCATTCTTCAAGGGAAGAATTACTACTCACCTTGGAGAAACCGAGACGTGGAGTGGTTTCCCCAATGTCACACAGCCTGTAGTGGGGAATTGAGGATGGAAAGGTTCTCCTGGAAGGCAACACTGGGAGTGTGGGAATGTGTGGTCCTGCTCAGGAGCTGGGAGTAGCCGGGTTCCTGAAAAATGTCACTGTGAATCAGGTGGAAAGAGCCATGGATGGATAGCTCTTTGCGTTGGTTGTACCGTGCAGACTCCGTGAGGTTCTTGAGGAGGAACTAAAGAGCCCCCTGACGAGGGTGAAAGAGGAGAGTGAAAAAGCTGGCTGAGAACTCAGCATTCGAAAACCAAGATCATAGCATCCGATCTCATTAATTCATAGCAAATGGAAGGGGTAAAGTGGAAGCAGTGACCGATTTTATTTTCCTGGGCTCCAAAATCACTGCAGACGATGACTTCAGCCATGAAATAAAAGACGCATGCTCCTTGGAAGGAACGCTATGACAAACATAGACAAACCTAGACAGCATATTAAAAAGCAGAGAAATCACTTTGCTGACAAAGGTCTGTCTCATCAAAGCTATGGTTTTTCCAATAATTTTGTATGTATGTTGAGAGTTGGACCATCAAGAAGGCTGAGCACTGAAGAACTGATGCTTTTGAACTGTGGTGTTGGAGAAGACTCTTGAGAGTCCCTTGGACTGCAAGGAGATCCAGGCAGTCAATCCTGAAGGAAATCAACCCTGAAGGAAATCAACCCTGAATATTCATTGGAAGGATTGAGGCCGAAGCTGAAGCTCCAATACTTTGGTCACCTGATGCAAAGGGCCGACTCATTTGAAAAGACCCTGATACTGGGAAGGATTCAGGGCAGGAGGAGAAGTGAATGATGGAGGATGAGATGGTTGGATGGCATCACTGACTCAATGGACATGAGTTTCAGCGAACTCCAGGAGTTTGTGAAGGACAGGGAAGCCTGGTGTGCTGTGGTTCATGGGTCACAGAGTCAGACACAACTTAGCTGCTGAACAACAGGAAAAATCTCCCAGGCACTGCCCACAGCTTGAGTTCAGGCTGATTCCACTCTGTCTAGGCATCCCTGTTGCTGGTACCCTGGTGTTCACTGGGACATTCTATCCACTTGGAGAGTGATGAAGTGACCACAGTCATGTCCATTTCCTCTTTATAAACCAGTTTTGTCCTAGTCTGTGTATTTCCCCTGATGCTGCAAAAATGATAAGTGCAGGTGTTTATTGGAGTTATGTTCCTGGCTCTGTGCTAGGGCCCATGGAAGAAACCAAAGAAGAAGGAGACCCGACCTTGACCTTGTGCGTGTGTAAGACCATAATGTGAGGATGCTCTCGAGAGGAGCAGCCCTGTCAGAGTCAGCAGGCAGGCTGTTCTACCTCTCTGTGCTAGACGAGTCTAGAAAATGATTAAAATTTTCATTTCCACTTTTGCGTGAACCCTCCACTTCTCAAAGTCCCCAGTCTTGCTTGTCTATCCCCCTCAAACAAGATGCCCAAATTTGGTAAGAGCTAAGCTCCTCCGCCCGGAACATCGAGTTTTATATCTAAATGTTATCAGAAGCATCACACCTCCCTGGCTGTGTGCATCGGGCTGAACATCCTATAATAAGGAGACATTCTTGGGATGTTTTGGCCGTGCACCTTCCCAGCCCTGCTGGAATTCAAGAGGTCCCTGAGACAGAACAAAACTGGAACAAATGGAAAGTATAGAGTTATCTCTCTTCTGGGAAGCTCAGCACAGTTTGGTTTAAGTGTTTGCAAAGATCCCGTCTTGTTCGCATTTGGTCTCCAGGTCTCACACTTCTCCGGTGCTTTACACCACAGGCTGCCAGAGTGAGATGCAGAGATTCCTTCATCCTGCCCTCCCACCACCCCGCTCCCCACTGCGTTTCTCCCCCCACCCCGCTCCCCACT